CACGGACACACCTGGCTTGCAGATATAGCTGGCGACGGGCGCGTGACGTAGCCTTTGCATAGTTCATTTTCCTGCAGCAAAGCTGTCCCAGTTTATTCCGTCTTCCCTGACTTGTGATTTGGGGTACCTTCTGTTGTCGACACCAGCAAATTTGGACAGCCTTAGCCAGAACCCATGTCCAGATTCAACCGTATTGACCATACTGAAACATTATTAGTGTGAAGAAAGTGAGCTAAATTTATAGAAAATTCGTGTTGCCACAAGTAATGCGCCAATAGTGAAACTATTCGTTCGCGATGGGTGAATGTCGACTAGCGTCAAATGTGGCCTTTCAAAGGTAAGTATTAAATGACTTTTCGGGCTTGATTTTGGCCTTCCTTCTGCAGACCAGCGTGAGATTTGCGGATCACGAACGGTTCACAGTTCTTGATATCTACGGAGCCTGCTTGACTTAAGCCACCAACTTTTATAATCGGGAGTCCATCAGAGAGAGAGAGAGTCGGCAGTACCAAAAAAGCTGCATTTGGTTGCGAGGACAGAACTGCCAAGCAGATTACAAATTCGATAAAAAGTCAGCAAGAAGTAAGAGCTAAAAAAGGAGTGCGTAGGAAAGACAGATCGGAATAAGTCAAATTTGGCGTAAAAAGACAGGGAATCAGTTGAGAGAAAAGAAAGCACGGTGAAAAACAGGGGACAAAATCGTGACGATGGTTGGTCAATTCCCCCTGTGTCGATCACATTAGGTTGCAAGAAGTGCGGTCCGGGTCCTGCATGCCAAGTCGAAGCCACTTCTCCTTTTTATCGTCGTACGGTGCGTAGCGTAGTCTGGAAGCAAAAAAACATTTCGAAGGGTCAGTACATTCAAAGCAGGAGATGGCTGAATAGACCAGACCGCGGCTTATCTGGAACCACCAGGCACTAGGAAGGTGTTGTATTATCGGGCATAACCAGCAAGCAATCAGCGACGTGTCCAAAAGCACGCTTCAATTTAGCAGCTGAAGAGTCGCAATCAGGTTAG